ATATTGAAGTTAAGTATGCGGATAAGAACCTTATAGATTTTCACATTCAGTTTGGTTCTTCGGAGTTCTTTGTTTCTGGGGTTTATGGTGCTCCTGTGTATAGTGACAGACTTTTGGTTTGGGAAAGAATCTCCAGGATTGGGATTCACAGAAAGGAAGCTTGGTGTATGTTTGGAGATTTTAATGCAATTCTGAATAATGGAGAGAAGCTCGGAGGTCCAAGGCGAGGAGATGCCTCATTTTTACCTTTCAAGGAGATGTTGGATACTTGTGATATGGCTGAGTTACCAAGTAAAGGAAATCCCTTTACTTGGGGTGGCAAGAGAGGAACATTATGGATTCAAAGCAAACTTGATCGTTGTTTTGGTAATAAAAATTGGTTTAGACAGTTTCCTTTGTCTAATCAATTTTTCATGGATAAAAGAGGCTCAGATCATCGTCCGGTACATATCAGAATTTCGTCAACTAAAGTGGAGTACAGGGGAAACTTCAGTTTCGAGTGTGCCACTGTTGGCTATGGAGAAACTCAAAAGGTATAGAACTGCCTTGAGTAGATGGAAAAAAGAAAATAACTTGAACTCTCTCACTAAGATCACGCAGGCTCGGGCTTCCCTGGAATTAGAACAATCATCTTCTTTCCCGAGAACAACTGTGATGAACTCTCTGAAAGATGATCTGTGCAAAGCCAATCTAGAGGAAGAAATCTTTTGGAGTCAAAAAAGCAGGGCCAAATGGATGCATAGTGGAGATAAGAATACTTCCCTTTTCCATGCTTCGGTGAAGGATAATCGTGGAAAACAGCATATTGAGAAACTATGTGATGTCAATGGAAATTTGCACAAAGATGAAGAGTCTAAAGGAGCCATTGCAGTTGCTTACTTCTCTGACCTGTTTAAGTCTGAGAATCAAGATTCTTTCCAGGATCTGTTTTCTGATTTTCAGCCCAAAGTTACAGCTGGTATGAACTCTGTCCTTGTTGCTGCTGTTTCAAAATCTGAAATCAGAAGTTCAAGTGCTCTGGGAGCTGACGGGTTCACGGGTTTCTTCTTTCAGAAGTATTGGAGTATCATTGGAAATCAGGTAACTTCTGAGATTCAAAAGTTCTTCATCACTGGTTCTTTTCCTAGAGAGTGGAACTTCACTCAGTTATGTCTCTTACCAAAGAAGAAGAAACCAAACAAAATGACGGATTTGCGTCCTATTAGTCTATGCTCAGTTCTTTACAAGATTATTTCAAAGATTCTAATTAGACGTCTGCAACCTTTTCTTCCTGAATTGGTGGCTCCTAATCAGTCTGCTTTTGTGGCGGAACGTTTAATCTCAGATAACATTCTCATTGCCCACGAGGTGGTTCATGGACTGCGCACTCATAAGGAAATTTCTAAGGAGTACATTGCTATTAAGTCAGACATGTCAAAGGCCTTTGATAGAGTTGAATGGAACTATGTTAGAGCTTTGCTGGAAGCACTTGGGTTTCATTCAAAATGGATTCAGTGGATTATGTTTACTATTACTTCAGTTTCCTTCACTGTCTTGATCAACAACAAGGCTTTTGGGAACATCACTCCTTCCAGAGGGTTGAGACAAGGGGATCCATTGTCTCCGTTTTTGTTTGTGTTATGTTCCGAAGGACTCACTCACCTTATGAACAGAGCAGAGAGACAAGGACTCATCAGTGGAATCCGGTTTTCTCAGGAAGGTCCGGCTATTCATCATCTATTATTTGCAGACGACAGCCTCTTTATGTGTAAAGCAGAGAAAGAGGAGATTCTAACTATAAAAAACGTTTTCAAAGAGTATGGTGATGCAACAGGGCAAAAAATCAATTTTGACAAATCTTCAATCACCTTTGGTGCTAAGATTGATGAGAGTTGTAAAGGTTGGATTAAAACTGAGCTAGGCATAATGAATGAAGGAGGAGCTAGTACTTACCTCGGTCTTCCTGAGTGTTTTAGTGGGTCTAAAATTCAGCTCTTAGACTACATAAAGGAAAGACTAAAGGCTAGACTTTCAGGTTGGTTTGCAAGGACTTTGTCTATGGGGGGAAAAGAGATTCTTCTGAAAGCGGTTGCAATGGCCCTCCCGGTTTATGCGATGTCATGTTTCAAACTGACAAAAACCACTTGTGACAACTTGACAAGTGCAATGTCAGACTTTTGGTGGAACTCCTTTGAGCATAAGAGGAAAACTCACTGGGTTAGTTGGGAGAAGCTATGCTTAGCTAAAGATCAAGGTGGTTTGGGATTCAAAGATATCCAAAGTTTTAACCAAGCCTTATTGGCAAAACAGGCTTGGCGGTTATTACAGAATCCAAACTGTCTCTTTGCTAGATTCTTCAAGAGCAGATATTTTGATGGGGATGATTTCTTGGAAGCTGAAATTGGAGCTAGGCCTTCTTATGCTTGGAGGAGCATAATACACGGAAGAGAACTGCTTTTGAAAGGTCTAAGGAAAGAAGTTGGTAATGGTAATTCTCTTAGTGTTTGGATGGATCCTTGGCTCTTTGATCAGGATCATGGTCCAAGAACTCCTCTCATGAAACACTTCTCTGTTAATTTGAGCTTGAAAGTTAAAGATCTCATTGACTTTGAATCCAGAAGATGGAACAGAGAGGTGCTTGATGATTTATTCTATCCAGTGGATGTTGAGATCATCATAAAGAAGAATCCAGTAGTGAACGTGGAAGATTTTTGGGTCTGGCTGCACACAAAGTCGGGTGAATACTCTGTTAAGACTGGTTACTGGTTAGCATTTAAGGATAACAAATCTGATCTTATCAGAAATGCAACCTCTCACCCATCTCTTAATGGTCTCAAAGAAAAAGTTTGGTCCATCCCTTCAGCTCCAAAGATAAAATTGTTCATCTGGCGTGCTTTGTGTGCTGCTTTGCCAGTAGCTGATCAGATTATTCATAAAGGTATGAAAAGTGATCCAAGGTGTCAGATTTGTGGAGAAGAAGGAGAATCCATAAATCATGTACTCTTTACATGCTCTGTGGCACGTCAGGTGTGGGCTATTTCTGGTGTCCCTACTCCAGAATTTGGCTTTGGTATAAGTGCTATTTTTGCTAATATGCAGTTCTTATTTGAGGTTCAAAAGAATTTTCAGGTTCCTGCTCAAATAAGAAGGCTGTGGCCTTGGGTCCTTTGGAGACTGTGGAAAAATAGAAACAACTTATGTTTTGAGGGTACTCACTTTTGTCCTGCAAAATCCTTTGAAAAGATCAAGGTAGATGCGCATGAATGGTCCATTGCGCAATCCCAGATTAACTCCACTGAAACTCCTTGTATTGATAGTTCTGAATCTGGTGCAATATCTTTTGTTGTGCCTGTTCCTTCTCCCTGGCAGCCGCCTCCTCCAGGATGTGTTAAATGCAACATTGGGGCTGCTTGGTCAGGGAAAAAAGGTTTAGGTGGGAGTGCATGGGTTTTGCGTAATGAACATGGGGTGGTGCTGTTACATAGTAGACGGGCTCTTTGTGATGTTACTAACAGAAGTGAGGCGCTACTTAAAAGTGTCATTTGGGCTATTGAATGTTTGCATAGTCATAAGATGTCTAGGGTTCTGTTTGCCTTTGAACCAGGTGATTTGTTATCGGCATTCAACAGACCAAATGCTTGGCCTTCTTTTAGGTATCAAGTCTCTGAATTACTTCATTTTTTGGGAAAGATTGTGGTTTGGAATGTTTTGGGGGAGAAGATTCTGGCAAATAGAGGAGCTTCCTTAATTGCTCAAAGTGTTGTGAAGGAGGACAGAGTTCAGTCTTATGTTGCTTCAGGGCATCCTCGTTGGCTACATCATCTTTTTGAGGAAGAAAGAAGAGGCAGTGTGGTTTCATCTTCTACTCTAGTTTGATCAATCTGCAAAATCAATTTTTGGTGAATGGTATATGTGTATATCTTTCCTTCTGTTAACCTGTTATTTTGTAAAGGTTCTGCAGCAGTTCTAATATCAATATAATCCAATTTCAGTGAAAAAAAAAAAAAAGGGAAATATCAATTTGATATTAAAGGCATGTATATATATATATATATATATATATATATGCATATGATATTGCATTATATATTTATACAATACTTTTATTGAAAACTCCAATTATCAACAAGAAAATGACTAAAACCATGTAGTTTTGTGCCATGAGAACTGATAATGTTTTGTTTTAAATAATGTTTTTACATGATTGACGGTGAATGAGAACGAAGGACAACTGAGAATGTGTCATAAGATTTTAGATAAAGTAGATTGTGGTGCTGGCTCGTGTAATGCTTTTTGCCGTCAAATATACGGCGGAATAGGCAAATGTGTTAAATCAAATGACGGAAGCGTAATATGCCTCTGCAATTATCAATGCTTTTATTAAAGGGTGAATTAGCTCAATAACCAATTTTGTACCCAAAATTAAGCTTATACCCATCTAATATTCATAATTCAGCAAGTAACCATGTTAATTGAATTTGGACCAAAATGCCCTTGTATTTACGTTTGCAAAATTGAGAAGGCAGAGAAGCGAGTGGACATCAGAGAGAAGGAGGGTCGGTGATCAGACGAAATAGAAAGGAAGATCCACAGACAGATATCGGAAGAGACATACACCGGAGGGGGGGGGGAAGAAGAAGGTAAAGATCCACCAGTTAGAGAGATGTAGAGAAGAGATCCTGTCATAATAAGGAAGAGACTCAGCGGTGGTTGCGACGGAGATCCGTTGGTGGCTGTGACGGAGATCCGGTGGCGGCTATGATAGAAGTCCGGTGGCCACTGTTACGAGGAGACGCAACATCCACAGGAGAGATGGGTGAATAGCGTGAATCACAAACAAGGGGTAAAATTGTCCCATATACATGAAATACAGCGTATATCAACTCGTTTTTTGGAAAATTGCTAGTTACTTAATTAATGTTTTTTGTGCGTCAGTTTTGCAAATTTTCCTTTATTAAATTCTTTTCTTAAATTCTTTTTTTTTTTTTGAAATAATTTCTTCTATTGAAAAGCATGAGAAATAAAAATATTACAAAGCCTAGCCCAAGTTGTTTTAGCTTATTACATAATTATGCCCATAAGCTCTAGTGGTCCAACAAAGGAAATGGTTTTGAAACCAAGTGATCAGAGAAGCCCCATCGAAGGCACATTGTTGAGATGGAACTTTTAGTTGTAGTTTACTATAACCAGACGAGAACCAAACGTTTAGTTGCAAACCGACCAAATAAACCGTTGAAAAATAAAGAACCATTGACCTAGAAGCTCTGTTTCGAATGGTAAATTGGTGAAACTTGGCGGTGTTTCTCTTTCTGAATGTTTTAGTTCGGCTACTGTGTCGCTAATCCGTATGACAAGATGTTGGTCCGCGAGATAAGACCTGATGGTCTTGCGTGCAGTCTTGTTTTCAGGGAGTTATGTTTGTCGGAAAGGTAACTCGATTGTTTCCTTCTGTATCAAGAAATCGAGAAGGCGGACGTGCAATCAACAATAGAATCAGATATACTGATTAATTCGATTATATTTATATAAAAGTAATGATTCTTGTTCGATACAATCATCACTAAGCGGGAGAAGATTGATTCTAAAGATACGGAATACAATCATCACTAAGCTTTTTTTTTGATATTGCATAAATTAGTATAGCTGATTGGGGTCTTTTCTCTAAGATTGATTCTGAAGATACGGGACGATGTATTTGAGGACATCATGATCTGCCATTTCGAGATGTCCACCTGGTACACTCACGAACTTCACTTTTCCAGCCGCATCCAATGTTTTCAATCCGATCCAATCCTCGGTGTAGAGCGCTGTCTTGTTAGCCGGGAGAACGGGTTCGACCTGACCATCCGGGTAAAACCCGAACCAAGTTGAGTCATTTGGGATGATAATCGTTTCGTTCTGAAACTGTAAAACAAAACAGAACCATCAAGACAGAAACCAAAAGAAAGTTAAAAAGTCTAATGGTTTTGAAGAGATCAAACCTTGACAAGAACCAGATTGTGTAAACTGGTGAAACGATCTTTGTAAGTTGAGTTTCTTTGGTTTGGTATCTCATTGCTAAGCTTAGGCAGATACTTCGAGTTTTCCAGGTACCTCTTCATATCCTGAGAAAAAAAAAGACAAAGATTTTGTGAAATTTCTGTTAAAACTTTAATCAAAACCAGCTGTTTTCAATTTTCATAGTCCTCAAACGAGAAGATCTGCCATTTTTTACATAACCTTGTTCAATCTGCGAGTTAAAACGAAACCTATCCTTCTTTTACACCATTTCTCACCCAAACCAAGAGTTCTGAATTAAACCGCGAGTATGACTTATCGTTGCAATTTCGGTTAAGAGAAACTGATAAAACAGAGAGTTTTGGCAATGAGGGGTCTCTTCAATTAGCTTTAAAGAGAAGACAGAGTATCTAAAATACTAGGAGCTAGTCGATGGAAGCTAAACTATGGTAGTATGGTGAATGGACATACCATAGGGTTTTTGAAATAACCACTGGGAGCAAAATGATCCTGCAGAGTCATTAAATTTTTTTATCAATTTCTAATTTAGGATTTAATCATATGATATATATAGAGAGAGAAATACATACCTGAACGAACTCGCTATAGACATCTGCTTTGACTAGCGCATCAAATGCATCACATACGAGACCGGGCATCTACAAAAAAAAAAGAAAATACACACAAAACAAACATTGTTGTTACTGTGATTATTGATTCAAATCATAGAAAAAGTTAAGATAATTTGAGGAAATTATAAAAAACCTGTGCACCACACGTAGGAACAGAGGATATCCCAGCATGAGGACCACCTAAAGATATGTAGTTGTACACCGGAGGCCCGCCGTCGCAGAACTCGATCAAGCCTCGAGCCACTAGGTTCCCCTGTTCCATCATTCCTCAACATCCATAAAACTGAAACATGTAAATAATGATCAAAAACTGATTTTAGGGTTTTCAAGAACCTGAGATCTTCCAACAATGTTGTATCCTTGACTCAACTCTTTCATTTGCTTCACCTTCTCACACGCTATCTCAGCTTGCTGTGTAAGTGGCATGAGCATTGAAGCGAAGAATCCATCTCCAATTTCTCTATTGAGAACAACTATCTTTATTGATTTAGAAACTTCACGAAACTAAATCTCTCTCAAGCTCTTATGGAACAACTCTCCATGGACTTGGTATTTATATGTAGAAATAAGACAACACCTTATTCTAATTGCATTAGGAAAACCATACACAAATCCTTATCTAAATCTTGTTTGTGATTATCTCTTAGGCAACATCCTAAAGAGATAACTTATTTCCTAAGTTATTTGGAATTATCTCTGAGTTTCTGAATCAATATATAAATTGCCTGGAATGATCCGGCCCCGGACGTAGACTATATCACACCGATAAGTCGAACATGGGTTAACAAATCTTGTGTTCGTTACTTTTATTCTCTGTTTCTTTCTTTTACTAACGTGAGAGAATGAGAGTGAGCATGGGTTCTTGAGGTGATTTAAGGTTTTGCAGGTTACAGGAAGGGGCTGGATTTTGTTCAGCCATTAACATACATATCTATCTTTAACAAGTCTGTTTCTTTCTCTACGTGTACGTTGTTTGATTGTATAATTCAAAGTAAAGAAAAGAAGGAAAAAAACAGTAAAGAAAAGTAAAGAAAAAGAGAGAGAGAATAAGTTTCAGAGAAAGAAGAAGAAGAAGAGATTGAAGAACAGAGGAAGGAGATGAGTGAGCGGCAAGGCAATTAAAAAGTAAAAATCCAATCGTTATAAAAATAAGAAAGTGACTTACAAGCATGACCCTTGAGAGCCAGAGAGGTTCATGAGAAGCTGTGTGAAGTTGGCATTCGTCGGATCGGAACACGCAGCGGTGATTCCGTGAAGCACGACGAACGGAACCGAGACTGAGACGTGAATCAAGAGTGCAACCGCCACCACCGCAACCCAAAACTGCTTGATCAAACCTTTCTCCTCCATTCTTAAAACACCAAAACTACAAGCGTTTCTGTTTGTGTCCTTTTGAGGTGGTAATACAGAGTGTTTGTGATCTGGTTGCGGCCAAGTAAGAAGAAATAAGAAAGACTTAGATGAAAAATTGGACGGTTTTGATTGGTTTTTATATTTCCAGTATGAAATGGACGGTGCTGATTAGTTGATGTATTCATGCATCTTCATGTGCATTAACTTTTTTTTTTTGTTGTGTATGCATTAAACCTCTGTTTCTTAATTCTTTTTCTTCGCCTACTCTGTTTCCTAGTTCTTCCCTCCTCTGATATGCTATCTGCTCGTTGCCTCTTTTAGTACGTGTGTATATGTCTTTTCACATATTTTTACAACGGATATTTCATGTTACATATTTACAATATCTTATAGATCCAATTAATCATATCGTATTTGAATATCTTTCACAACAAATTTCTTGTGAGAAATAGGATGTATAAAATGTGATTGCCAACTATAGATCAAATGGAATTTTTTCGATTTTTATCATATAGGTGAAAAAGGATTACAATAAACCATGCAATATTCTTGCCAAATATCGAATTCCAAATGATTTATTGTTCTATTATCATATTTGTGTACATTCTGTAATAAATCAAGTCTTCATTGTGATTATTGTATCTCATATTTATAATAAATATTACAAAAGTTATTATATTATTCATAATTATTTATTTGTATGTATAAATAAATGTAATTATCATTTTTAATGGAACTACATTTAATTGATTTTCAAATTTTATAACATTTGAAAATTATTTGTGATGTGATTTAAAATAGAAAACTGATAAAATAAAGTAAAAGATACTCCATATGTGAGGATGTGTGTTGAGGGATAAAATGTCAATGTTACTTATAGCCCTCTGCACAAATACTCGGACCCGAAAAACCGACCCGAACGGGTTTTAGTTTTTTTTTTTTTTTAAAGTACTCGGACCCGAATGGACCCGACCCGAAAAAATACGGGTATCCGAATAGACCCAAAACATAAGTATATATCTCAAAAATATTAGTAATATTTATACTTAATAATAATCCAACTACTCAAAATTATATTTTTTTAAAGATATTTCAGATTTTGAATAATTTGAGTACTTTTTGGGTGCTTTAGATATTTTTTGGGATAATTTATATATTTTTAGTGCAATATAGCTATAATTATTTCAGGTATTTTGGGTAATTCGAATACTATTTGAATAATTCAGAGCTAATTTTTTGAGTATTTTGGATACTTTTGGATATTTTTAGGTTAATTTGTATTCAAAGTACCTATCCGAATCAGAACCGGTAAAGTCTCCGGATATTTACGGATATTGGACTTTATGTCGAGAACCGACCCGAACCCGAAAAGTCCCGAACCTAACCCGAACCGAAATTTAAAAATACCCGAACGGAGCTAAAATCTAAAAAAAAATACCCGAACCTTAAAGGACCCGACCCGAACCCGATCCGAATACTCATATGCCCAGGCCTAGTACTTACTTATTATTACTTATTGTGCTTCTTTTGTTAGCAGTCACATTTCTATATATGTATTAATTTGTTTCCATCTCTCTGAGGTAAAATATCAAATAAGGAAACATAGAAGTAGAAGCTATCATAGAAATTGAAAAAAAAATAAATAAATTAATTAATATATTCACACATCACTCTTCCATTGCATTACTTGGTACCACTTGCCATAGACAGAGAGTTGTATAGTGTTTTTAATTCTCTTCTTATAACAAGTAAATGATTTGTTGGGAATTAAATATTTTTTTTTGAATTATACGTTTTTCGCTCCTACGTCTGCAAAGTTTACAGATTATTAAATATGCGTGTGGAGATGAGAACTTGATGACCAAGGTACCGAAGTCATGACAAAGACACTCTGCATAAACTCAAGTTCTAACCAAGGTTGATGTATATTAACTAAAGTTAGAAGGGCTTTTGGGGACCACAAGAGATGGCAAACGGTGAAGAACTAATGTCCTTTACACAAGTATTCTCTAAGTATATTGGAGACTCTACTCAAGAGCGAAGGTTTAATAAAGTCAACAAGAGACACGTGTGAGTCAAATGTGTGTGAGTTGGGCGCAGAGACTTTTAGGCTCCTTCAATCGAAAGAATCGGAGGTTTTGAAGTTTCTTCAACATCGCGACTTAGGAGAAGAAATCAGAAGATGTTGCGATGTCAAGAAAAGAAGAATCGAAGGATTCCTTGGTTGAAATTGAAATCGCGATTCCAAGAAAGATGAAATCGGAGGTGACATCGAGTTGTCGTTGTTGATCGGTTTCAATGTATTTGAGAAGAAGAAGCTCTCCGGTGGTGAAGTTTTCAGGAGATTAATTTTGAATAGGTGAAAAAGGATTACAATAAACCATGCAATATTCTTCCCAAAGATCGAATTCCAAATGATTTATTGTTCTATTATCATATTTGTGTACATTCTGTAATAAATCAAGTCTTCATTGTGATTATTGTATTTCATATTTCTCTTAATAAATATTAGATGTTACAAAAAGTTATTATATTATTCATAATTTATTTGTATGTATAAATAAATGTAATTATCTTTTTTTAATGGAACTGCATTTAATTGATTTTCAAATATTATAACATTTGAAAATTATTTGTGATGTGATTTAAAATACAAATGAATAATTTTAAATAGAAAACTGATAAAATAAAGTAAAAGATATATGCGAATGTGTGTTGAGGGATAAAATGTCACCTGTTAGTTAGGGACGTCAAAATGTAATGTTACGTAAAATGTAATCCTCTTAAAACTATTCATAATATACAGTAATCCTCTTAAAACCGTATAGTACTACTGTATATATACACAAAATTAGAAACATATATATTCCGTCTACATCTTTCATCAGTAATCCTCTTATATTATACGCGTTTTTGACGTAAATTTGTATATTAAAAATAACGTATACATGTTTATGAAAAGTCCAAATTTTATACTATAAAAAAAAAGAGAATGTTTGGAAAAATGTAATAATCCTCTATCCCATTCTTTATTAAAAAAAAAAAAGAAAACAGAGGTAATAACTTATGATTGTGACCCAAAAAGATTTTCTCCCGATTGACCTGCGGCTTTGGAGTGTATACTCTGTGTGTATATTAAAACCTCTTTATATCTTCCTCTTCTAAAACCTGGTCAAAAGTTTTGATTTTGTGAGATATAGGCTCCGAATGGTAACTGCGTTTTGCGGTACGGGAGAAGTGCGGTATTACAGTGCTGTACGGTTCAACTGCGGGACTTGCGGGAGAAATATATTTGCGGGACAAGTGCGGTTTGTATAAAATAAGCGGTACGAAATAATATGTGATTGGTGAAAAAAGCTATTTGCGGGACAAGTACGGTTTTATATATATATATATATATTAATAATTAATTAATTTTTTGTGTTAATAAATAAACAATAACAGATATTTGTAAACAATAGAGATTGTAGTTAAATTATTTTAAGAGAAATATATTAATATAATTATAAATTAAACATTCAAATATATGTGTATATATATATATATATATATTAAATAAAAAATTTCATAATAAACAATATGATACAACAGAAAAATGTTATCGAATATCTTAATTTTTCTATAACATATTTGTATTATTATTTTTTCGCCATTTGTTTTTTCATAAGCTATTTTAACTCTTTCCATCTCAATAAATTCATAATTTTTTCGTACATTAGTTTTATCAAATTTCTATATCTTATTGATATATTTTATTTATTATATTTCAATAACCTAAAATAATTCTATATTTTTGGATATATTAGTTAGACCTCCTAATTATATGATCTTACTAACATTGTATCAAATAATTTTGTGTAGACGAAATAGAGCATATACTAAAATGAAGGTTTTATTTCAAAATTTTAATAAACTTGTGGATTAAATAAATAATTATTTATTTAAAAATTGTAATGGTTATTAGCACTAATTAGAATTATAATGTTCTATTTATTTGTAAATCCATAATCTTGTAAAAGAAAATTTCTAATACTAATAACAAAATCTTTAACTTTTTGGTGGTAATTTTTAGTTTTTTAATAATTAAATATTAAAATAATAATTTTTTAAAGACAAATAATTACCCAGTGCGTAATTGGTTGAAATCCGCTGGTTATTACCTGCTGTGTGAATTTTGAGTGCGGTCTTTTATCCAGAGGACAAATTTATGTTACTTGCGGTTTTGTTTTCTAATTTTCTTAAAACCACAAAAAAAATTAAAAGTCTCTTGATTGGTGACTTAAAGACGGTTTTGGTAAAACCGCCTTGAATACCGCACTATAAGAGTCTCCACTCACAGCCATAAAGTCGTCTATGTAGGATGACGCTGTGAAATCGTATCTCTGTAATAATCCTATATCTCTCTCTCTTTCTCTCTCTTAATTAGAACGTTGAACCATAGAGGAAACTGGCGCAAGATTTGAAGGATGAATCTCTTCTTATATTTAGTGCGTGAAACGACGTTGTTTCAAGTTCTTGGAATTTTGTATTTATTGCAAACCGAACCAAACCGAAATTTGGAAAATTTGGTTCGGATTTGGTTAATTGGATGAAATAAACTGATCGGCAAGACGACAAGAAGGAGTACAAAATTTCCTAACCGGTTTGATTCTGTTTGGTTTGGAACTTTCAAACCGAATTATCGAAATTGAAGCCTTGTAATGTTTTTTTTTCAAGTGGTTTTTAATTTTTTTTGTTTTACCCAAAAATCTATGTTATAAATTTAAAATATTTTCACTAAAAGTTAACGAATCTAGTTTTGGTGTGTTTATAAAAAAATTTCAAAAAAAACAAAACTAAAATCTATTTTTTTGAATTATTCACTCAATAAAAATCAAAATTCATCATAACACTTTTTTCAATTTTTTTTTTCTTTTTTTTCTTCTGACAATTTTTTTTAATAACAATATAGTCCATCAACATTTTTCTTTTTAGTAATTTTGAAAAGAATAAAAAAAATTTCTTTAAAAGAATTATAGATAAAAACCAAAAACAAAACAATTTATCATTCAAATTTTTTTAAAACATAAAATCAGAAACTAAAAACCAAAAACTATTTTAAAATCTACAAATATTTATGGTCTTAATTTTAAAATTTTAGAAATTACCGAAATAAACTGAAGTCGGTAAAAATCAAAATTTTTTGAATTATTCACTCAATTAAAATCTAAATTTTTTGAATTATTCACTCAATTAAAATCAAAATTCATCATAACACTTTTTTCAATTTGCTTTTTATTTTATTTTTGAATAACAATTTTTTTTAATAACAATATAGTCCATCAACATTTTTCTTTTTAGTAATTTTGAAAAGAATAAAATATTTTCTTTAAAAGAATTATAGATAAAAACCAAAACAAAACAATTATCATTCAAATTTTTTAAAAAATCAATATCTACTCAAAAATAAATGAAAACCATAAAATCAGAAACTAAAAGCCAAAAACTATTTTTTAATCTACAAATATTTATGGTCTTAATTTTAAAATTTTAGAAATTACCGAAATAAACCAAAGTCGGTAAAAATAAGTCAATTAAAATAAGTCTACAAAATATATAATAAATTTGCTCCTTCTGTAAAGAATAAAATCTCTAAATTCAAATTTATCATTTTAGCTCATATTCCTAAATCTACAGATTATTAAAATAGAATTCATAGCTTATGTAGATGATATGATCTACAAGCAAAAAATTAACGTTTTTAGCTCCTACGTTTGCAAAGTTTACGAATACAATTCATACCTTATGTAAATTAAAAAAATCTTTAAACAAATTAAAGTCTTATTTTTCTAGCTTCTAAATCTAAATCTACAAGTAGTACTCGTCGATTAAAATTATGGTACGGGTCTTGTGGGGGCTCCATGAAAGTAATAAACTTCAAAATGTGAACTGAATAATAACGACAGCTTCTGAGTAAACATATACGAGATCCATATAACAAGTAATAACTGTAGAAACGAGTTTGGCAGAGATGTTAAAATGGGTAAAAAAACACGACCCGGTCCAAATCCGTTTTAAATCCGCACATTTAAAATCCGAATCATAAAATCCTTTTGAAACCCGCAAAATTTTAAGGTAGTCCAAATAAAACCCGCGAACTTTCGGATTACCTACAGATACCCGTTTTGTTTATATTTTTTTGTCACAATATATATATATATATATATATATATATATATTTTTTTTACAAAAGTTTGAATTTAACCTTATAAAATTGGTAATTAAATTTGTAAAATTTGTATTTAAAGTTTTAAAAACAAATTAAAAACCACTTTTACTTAATATAATTTTAAAAATTTGTAGTTAGATGTAAAAAAAATGTTAAAAAGTTTTTTAAAAAATTAAAATAAAACTCATCAGGTACCCGAAACCCGAATAGGTAAACCCAAAATAGACAAAACCCGAAATAAACCCACCTATTTATAACCCTCGAAATTTTAAACAAAATGATCGGGTTTTAGATATCTATTTTTAAAGCGGATTTAGGATACCCTACGAATTTTTACCCAAATTAACATCCCTAATCCCCTTCCAATATTAGGGTGGGTTTTAACCTTGTTTATATCATGGGAAAGAAAATTCTACCGCTCTATTCACCTTGTTTATATCATATGCTTGTCACCTAAAAATGGTAAAAGATAATAAGAAGCCTAAAATGAAGAGATTGGCTGATTTTCATTTTAAGCCCAACATAGTTAAATGAGACCAAAACATATACTATTAAAAGTCAAAATTAAGAATACCAAAACTGAACTTTGGTCGAAGTCTGCTTCAGTGCATTTTCGTTCTCATAGTAAAATTGACCAATTCGTTCTGTGGACCTATGAGTGACTAATGAGGATGAGTCAATGTCAAGAAATTGGACCATGAGGGATAAAATATTACTGTTAGTTACTTACTTCTTGTGCTTCTTTTGTTTTTTGTTTTTTGTGCAAAGCTTGTGCTTCTTTTGTTAGCCATCACATTTCTAGATAATAATTTGTTTCCATCTCTCTGAGGTAAAACATCTCAAAACTATTTTCCGATAAAAGTATATTTGAGAGTAAATATTTTCACGTCCGATGTCGAATAATATTTATTATAATTTTGTTTCATATTTGGAATGAAAAATCAAATAAAGAAACATAGAAGTAGAAGCTATCATAGAAATTAATATATCCACACATCACTCTCCCATTGCATTACTTAGTACCACCTGTCATCGACAGAGAGTTATTGTATAGTGTTTTTAATTCTACTAGGACGAAACCCGCGCTATGCTGCGGGGTATATTTTTGGATAAATTTTTCTAGTAAAATAATATATTTTATAATAATTAAATCATATTGTTGAAAACTTTATTAAACATTTATTTGTCTAAACTGTAGTTTATAAAGCGAAATATACCATAATTATTGATATAAACTGAAACTACAAGCTAAATAAAAAATTCGGCTTAACTTTAGCTATAATATTTGTGAACCGAACCAAACTTTTCCAAATAAAAAACTGAATGTAACCTACGTACTTGATCATTTTTGACTCGTTTTCGCATTTTGGAGTGGCGTTTGAACTCTTGACGTGGAACATGAAAAAATTAATATTAGATGAGAAATTTGAGTTATATTAATCAAAATATTTTTAATGGATGACGATTTTAATGAGATGTCAACCTGAGAACAACCCAAAATATTGGGGTGTCAGACCTTGAGAAATCTTGCTAAATAAAAAAAAAAATCGGTTTTAACTTTGGGTACAATATTTTTATGTGAGCCGAACCAAACTTTTCAAAAAAAAAAACTGAATGAAACCTAAGTACTTAATCATTTTTTTCTTAATCATTTCTTGATAATAAATTCTTTTCTCGATGTTTGGAGCTGCCACTTTTGATGAACTAAGAAGCGGGTTACATCATCTTGGATCTAAGCTTACATAATCTGAAATCAAACAACTCATGGAAGCTGTAAGTTGAGGAAACAAATCCAATTGATTAATTATTAAACCAAGCTAAAGAAATCATCATAAGCTAAACTTTCTCAATGGTTTTTGTTCATTTATAGGCTTGTGTGGACAAAAGTGGGACGACTGATTACATTGAGTATATAATTGCAACAATGCATCGCCATAAATTGGAGAAAGAAGAGAAATTGATAGAAGCATTTAAATTCTCTAACAAAGACAGAAGCGGGTTTTGTATTCTTATAACCGTCTCCTTCTTCACCTAAATGAACACAACTACTATATTAAAGATCGAATTGTCTTCAACACATACTGTTCTTTTTTCAAAAATCAGATTTATCACAAGGGACGAGCTTAAACATTCCATTTGATCATTAATGCATTTCTATGTTGTTTTCCTTGAGAATGTATAAAAATGAATTGTGTTGTATTTGTTTGAGTATGAATTAAAAAAAAAAACCAAGTTTCTTATAAGGTGACTTTTTTTTTTATTTGATCAAAGTGAACCATAATTTGTTACTTATAAATTTATAGCTTTGAATTGTTTGTCACGTTAACATTTTAATTTATTCATGCCACTCGTGCTAAGGATCTTTCTGGCTCATTTAATTTATTCAGGAGAGAAGGCAATTTTGTATGAGTCAATCAATACTAAAACCCACTTCTGAATAATAATAAGCCCAATTATTTTCAAACAAGAAGCCCAAGTGAGATAAACTTTAACAATGACATGGAGCAAAGAACAATAATTACTGGCCAATAAATCTGAGCTGTATTAATCGAAATGTTTTCATTGGCTGACGATTTTAATGATGTGTCATGCTGAGAATAGCTTAAAATGCTGATGTGTCAGGCCTGGAGAGATCCTAAGTGTTTTTATTGTATTGATTCCTATAACAAGTAAATGATTTGTTGGGAATTAAATATTGGGGTTTTTTAGGAAAAGAGTTAGTTTTAAGTTTTTATTAGGAATTGGAGTATTAGTGTGGAAAGAAAATATAAATGACGTTTGTAGAAGGAAGAGAGAGAAGAAGTTTTTTTTTTCTTTTATTTTGCTCTCTGATATTCGTTGCTGTCTCTCCAATTCTTCATTTTTCTCTGATTCTTTTAGAAACAAATTTAAAATAAATTTGTAGTAGAAGTAAATTTTTTTAAAAAAAAGTTTTAAATTTTTTTTTTTAAAGAAATTAAAAAAAAAAAATCCATCGGGTACCCAAAACCCAAATGGGTAAACCCAAAATAAATCCGTCTATTTATAACCCTCGAAATTTTAGACAAAATGGGCGAGTTTTGGGTATCCAGTTTTAAAACGGGTTTAGGATACCCGACAAAATTTTTACCCATATTACCATCCCTAATTCTAATATTATGGTGGGTTTTTAATCTTTTTTTTCATCATGGGATATTTTTTCATCATAATTATACCGTTCTATTTTTTTCAAAAAAAAAAAAAATTATACCGTTCTATTCAAATCATATGCTTGTCACCTAAAAATAGTAAAAGATAAAAAGAAGCCTAAAATGAAGAGATGGGCTGATTTTTATTTTAAGCCCAACACAGTTAAATGAGATTACACTGTCTTTCTTCTATTTCACAATAGTCATTACTGTTTAGTCAAAAACAAACAAAACACACATTACTGTTTACACAAGGATTCAGTTTGCAACATTTGTTCGTAAAAATGTAAACAACAGCCACAAATCATTAAGGTCTTCACTCTGCTCTTCCTTCTTTCCATAAGTAGTGAAATAAAGAAAAATTAAAAGAAAATTAGGAAACATGACAGTAAGATTAGAACCAAAGATTTATTCTAAAGGTAAAAAAACCAAGAAAACAGAACAGTAAACTGTAGACATATACTATTAAAAGTCAAAAGAATACAAAAACTGAACTTTGGTCCAAGTCTGCTTCAGTGCATTTTCGTTCTCATAGTAAAATTGACCAATTCGTTCTGTGGACCTATAAGTGACTAATGAGGACTGTCAAGAAATTAGACCAGCCAATATATTTGTAGCTAGCCACTGGTTGGAATTTTCAACGATCTTTCTTGGGAGGAAAATTACACTCTGAAATGGAATCTTTGGTGAAGAAGTTGCAGCAGAGTATGAGATCTGGATCGTCCCGGAAAAGGAAGGAAAAAGACGGTCAAGAAGAAGAAAGGAGATTCTTACATAACGGAAGCATCTTCTTAAAAGAGCTCATCGCTGATTGTAACGGTAAATCAATTCCTATACGCACCTTTTCTTCTGAACAAATTCAGAAAGCCACCAACAACTTCGATCGAACATGTTTTGTCACTGAAGAGGAAGACCATGAATGGTATAAAGGTATCATAGAAGATAAGCCTTACTTGATCAAAAAGTTTTACGGGGATAGAGACACCGAAGGCAACGAAGTCTTACTTACACGGCGATGGGTTGGGAAGGGTAGTTACAAATACAATGACATTGTCTTGGCTGCTCGGATGAGTAACCACAACAACTTTCTCAAACTATTTGGATGTTGTTTCGAGTTTTTTTTTCTTGTTTTCGTGTTTGAAAACGCAGAGAATGGGTACCTTAATGAGAGAGGATATTTTATGGTTAATGGAGAGGAATCTTCATTGCCTTGGAGTGTACGTTTGAAGATTGGAAAGGAGATTGCAAATGCTTTAACTTATCTTCACATGGCGTTCCCTAAGATCATCATACATAGACACATTAAGCCAACGATTATTTTCTTGGACAAGAACTGGAATGTAAAGTTGTCTGATTTCTCGCTATCCATAACGCTCCCTGAGGGAAAATCAAGAATACAAGTTGATAGAGTCTTGGGGACATTTGGGTACTTAGATCCATTACATCAAGCCACGGGTTTTGTGACCGAATATACCGATGTGTATAGTTTTGGAATCTGTTATGTTGGTTTTTGTCACTGGTAGACCTGTTGTCTTCACCACATCTTATGGGGATAGCCAAGGTATTCTTGGCTATGTGAGGATGGGAAGCTTGATGAAGTAATTGATCCAATGGTGGCAAAAGATATGACATGTTGTCAAAGATTGCAGGTGGAAGCGTGTGTGGTGCTGGCTTTGAGATACTGTAAGCAAAGAGATGAAGATAGACCAAAGATGATCCAAGTAGCTAAAGAACTCAAGCGGATTCAGACATCATGGAAAGATCCATGCTATCAAGTAATTCTCCCTACCCCTCTCTATGGCGAGGCTTCTAACTATCCTCTCTGTTTCTTTACTGCAAAAGCCAAGTTTGTGGATCATTTGGAAGAAACTCTGAGTTCAGACAAGAATCATTTGGATGAAACTCTGAGTTCAGACATAAATCATTTGGATGAAACTCTGAGTTCAGACAAGAATCTTTTGTATGAAACTCAGAGTGAAGACAAGGATCATTTGTATGAAACTCAGAGTTCATACCAAAAAGAAATTTCTCACGGAAGATGACTCTTCCCCTGGCACAATCATAATATATACTTCACCTGCTATATACATTTATGTGTATGTATCTATGCAGCAATGTATCACAACTGTTTTAAGTTCTTCAACTTTTATCATCGCATGGCTTCACCATTCTACCTTTCTACTGTTTTTCTAAAATGATTTACTTCAATGATAGAAAACACTCAACTAAATAGAAACAAAAACCGCTATAGACTGTAATCATTTAATTTAATTACACTAACCAATGTTACTAGTGTGCATAGAGATTTTAAGAATAATCTCTCAACCAAAACTTAACATGATATTGTGTTGGTGTTTGGACTTGTAAAGAAATGAAATCACTCTCTTTATCATACGATATATAGCTGTCTGTCATGGTAACTCCGGATTCATCGCTTATACCAATGATCAGCATTGTTGCAGGTAAAGAAATAAGAGAGAGGAGAGATCATATCTTACATAGACTATGGTATTTGACTGTGTCCATTAGTCTTCACCAACGATGTATATGATCACACATTGCATTGATAACATTAGTCATCAACCAGAGAGCAACTGCAGGACATTTGAGTGCAGAGTAATGTTTGATTTTCTAAATCTAGGCAATCCAGGTGAGAAATGGGAAACGTTTGAAACAAAGATGGCTCATGGTAGTAGCATAATCGCTTTCTTAAGATATAAGCTACACGAGAATGGTTGAGCAGGAGCTTGAGCTCTGCACTGTCTTAATACAGATTATGCCACTAGGTTCTACAATCATCATCAATTCCTTTGAGAAAAGAAAAATAAAAGAAGCAGAAATCTGTGGCCTAAGACTTTTAGTCCACTACCTGTCTCTACTTATATGATGCTTATGCTCTGACCCTCTTCGTTCCCGCACTATCTTCTTGGGGTCTTCTCCTCTTTTGCCTCCTCCCTCAAGTATAGTCTTAGCTTTCCCTAAAGAAGCTGTTTCAGCTGGACCTAGGTGAAGCTTGTGCATATTGCTGTGTGTATCCGTGGGAGTCTCTTTAACTCTTGAGACGAATTCTTGGCTCTCTGATCGATTTGATGCTCCCTTGGAACTGCTCTCTTGGTCGAAGAAGAGGGCTTGGACGACCGTTGTGGTTAACCATGCATCTGAATCATTGACAATATGAGTATATATTTAAAATATTATATAAGATGTTCAAATATATTAATATTATAAGAATTTTTTATAAATCTAAAATTAAATATAGATACATGCATATATTATTGTTTATAGTATATATGTGTTTTTAGTAGAATATATACATCAAAGGCAAATATCATTTCGATAATATAAAAACATGTTATTTATATAGTACAGAAATAATATTATGATTATTTACTAAAAACATATGGTCATATATGTATAGTGGAATTAACATGGATCCGATCAAGTGTATTTCAGTAATTGAGTAGATTCATTTTCTAGGAAACTTTAATGGATATTTCTCATATATTGCATTTTAATATTTAAATACACAAGAAATGAGAAGACAGTAGAGAGAAATGGGTTGGTGTCATGGTGTGTTAGGAAACATTAAAATTATGTTGTTGTGGTTAACCATGCATCTGAATCATTGACAATATGAGTATATATTTAAAACATTATATAAGATGTTCAAATATATTAATATTATAAGAATTTTTTATAAATCTAAAATTAAATATAGATACATGCATATATTATTGTTTATAGTATATATGTGTTTTTAGTAGAATATATACATCAAAGGCAAATATCATTTCGATAATATATGCATGAATATTGTTTTCAGTAAAATTATATACACGAAAGGGAAATATTAATTTGATAATATATGATACCATATGGGAAATAGAATGTGTTGTGTATTATGGAGAATATGACGACCGACTTATAGAGACATAGTATCACAGACA